TTTTTTCGATGAGGAATCACCCCCTTGAATGTTTTACACTTATTCAGTTACACCCTGTGTATATTAACATATGCAACAAAAAGAATTTGAAGCTTTATAACTTCTAGTTATTATATGCGAGTGCTTTCCATAGCTGGCTGTCACGTATAGTCAGTGGGCATACTTGAAGACTGGCTATAAATCAAATCATCTAGAGGAACAATTCGTTCAGGCCAGTCTCAACACCCTACACAGTAGGTTAATGGACTGACACCTATCAGAAAACAACTACTCCCCTGGCTAATACCACGAAGGGCGTTGGATTATATCCGACAGGTGTCAGTGCAGGATTCTTCACACCATATATGAATACGTCATTCGATTCCATAACTTTCAGCTCTCTGCGAATTTCCATTGTGGCATTACCAGAAAAATTTTTTTTACAGACAATAATTTTTTAATTTATCACCCGCATGTCTACCACAATTAAGTTGATTTTTTTTGGAATAGTTAGTCAATGTCACTATGATAATTTCTGTAATCCCAACTTCGGAAAAAATATGTAGGGTGTTCGGTAAAACCAGTCAAGTTTCATTCATTTTCAAACAGACAATATTCAACTTTTTCAAATGAAACACTCTGTATTTTGTCATTTGTATAAAATGTTTCAACATTTCACTTCATTTTTTATAAGATGTATACTATACAAAAAATTGATATTTCACAAATTATACCAAGATTTAGTAATTGTTGTAATCACAAAAAAATTTATTTTCTTACGTTCACTAACTCAAATTTGTTTTTCGAATATGCAAAGTAATCCCTAGTACATTAGCATCTTCCTTACCATCTAATGATAGTTACCGGCGGTTTCAACGGTAAGAAATGCATACAAAATCTAGAGAATATTTATATTGTTTTTTTCTTCAAAAACCCAGTTATCCATGACTGACACCAAAAAATGAATCTCGGAATTTGTCAATAACGTCATGTGTTGAAGTTTCTTTCACGTGTACTTTAAATCATTTCCATTATAAATTATGTATTGGAAGATATGATGCAAGACATTGTTCAATTTGGCTGATGGGGCGTAGAAAAGATCAATCAGGAAAATAATTTTTTGATGTGTTATTTTCTGATGAAGCGACTTTTCATAAAAATTGAACTATGAATCGGCATAACATGCATTATTGTGTAATGGAAAACCCACATTTCGTTCGTTGCCTGAACCATCAACAGCGTTGGTCACTGAATCTTTAGGGAGTTATCGGCCCTTATTTTTAAATTGGGCATCTCACTGGAAGAAAATATGTAAGATTTCTTCGTCATCAGTTTTCGAATTTATTGGATGGGGTTCCATATGGAACAAGACTTAAAATGTGCCAGACGGGTCACCACCACATTTTTAAACTGAAGTACGGGAATACTTCAATGATCATTTCAATAAAAAATGGATAGGTAGGGGTGGACACAGTGGCGTCGCCACCCAGATCATCTGACCTGACCAAAATGGATTTTTTTCATGGGGGTGTATCAAATGGATTGTCTACCAAACTCCTCCAACACCTATAGAAGACATGAAACGAAGAATCACTAGAGCTTTCACGGAAATCCTGAAGGATATGCTGGAACGTGTAAAGAATTCGTTTAAAAAAGACTGACATTTTATGTTGCAGAAAATGGTCTCTATTTTGAAAAACATCTTTTGGACTCCTCTATTCAATAAAAAATTCAGGCGTTATTGTTCATATTGAAAAAAATTTGAGTAAGTGAACGTAAATAAATGAATTTTTTTGTTGTTAACAATAATTAATAAAACTGGGTATAATTTGTAAAATATCTGTATAGTATCCCTGTGATAAAACTGTAGTGAAATGTTGAAAAATTTCATACAAATGAAAAAATACAGGGTGTTCCATTTGAAACAGTTAAATTATGTCTGTTTAAAAATAAATGAAACTTGACCGGCTTACCGAGCACCCTATACCGGGTGTCAACGAATCTATTAGACAAGTCATAACTTCTAGACTATTAGGTGTATCAAAACGAGATTTGGTACAGATAAATGGTATGGGGAGAGGAGAGTTTTCACATATTTTTCACTTTCCGGTCACTTCCGGTTTCAGCGGAAATGGCTCCGGTTCTGAATTTTTAAATGGAACACCCTGTATATTGTAACATTTTTGGATTTCTGAGACAATTCTGGATCAGAAACTGACATTTCCGGAAGTTTTTCAGCCTACTTGATTTTTTCAGAGTCACTTTTAAAATTGCATCTAGGTGGCCATGATCGGACGTAAACTAATCTATGGACCTCAGGTGATATCNTCGCCATTTGAAAAATAATAGTTAGACACGAAAATGTTATTTTGTAAACTTGTCTCATTCATATTCAACACACTAGTCACTAAAACTCCGCTATTGCAATTTTCTGATATCACCTGAGGTCCATAGATTAGTTTACGTCCGATCATGGCCACCTAGATGCAATTTTAAAAGTGACTCTGAAAAAATCAAGTAGGCTGAAAAACTTCCGGAAATGTCAGTTTCTGATCCAGAATTGTCTCAGAAATCCAAAAATGTTACAATATACAGGGTGTTCCATTTAAAAATTCAGAACCGGAGCCATTTCCGCTGAAACCGGAAGTGACCGGAAAGTGAAAAATATGTGAAAACATTCCTCTCCACATACCATTCAACTATACCAAATCTCATTTCAATTCTCCTAATAGTCTAGAAATTATGACTTGTCTAATAGATTCGTTGACACCCGGTATATTATTTCCGAAAGTTGAAACCCTCGAAATCATCAAAGTGATGTTGACTAACTATTCCTCAAAAAAATCCACTTATTTGCCATAGACATGTGGGTGGTGAATTAAAAAATTATTGTCTGAAAATAGGTTTTTCCGGAATAACTTGGCAATGCCGCAATCGAAATAAGAAAACCAAAATTTCTCAGAAAGCCAAAAAATATGGAATCGAAGGACGTATTCATATACTGGTTGTTCCATTGAAAAGAACTGATTGGCCACGCTCAGCTAAATCACCCAGTATGCGAGGAAATAATTTCATAAGATACTATTCATCGATATGACTGCGAAAAGAAATTGAGCAATTCGAAAAATTGTTTTCCCTGATAGCAATGGACCGAGGGAGTCTTGTTGACTCACCCTGTATTTCTATATCTAAACCAATGACATGATCGTGATTGTACATACTGAAGGTATACTGCGATATTGACTACATTCTTCCAAGGTCAGAACGTAGTTATCCTTCTCAGGAATATATTTGGTTAAAACGTGCTAAGGTCATTGCCATAAAATGAAAATTAGTTTTATTAATTTACATGATTATAATAATGGTTACCAAACCTATATAGACTTACTTATGTTACATACCTGAATGGTTCACGAATATAATCAGGTATTCTTTCCTTAACATAATTTTTGTTATTTTTTTATATGGAGTTATCACACTTAGGATAAATATTGTCCCTAAATTTTCAGAATTGAGCATCAATTTCTTGATCAGACTTGTAATTTATTTTCTCTTAACTTTTTTATGACTTCATAGCCAACTGTCATAATGACATTGATATCCAGTGCTCTAATTAGATTGAAGATTTGAATTGGAGGGGTTTTCTTTTCAGGAGTGATTAATTTTTGGGAATGAAAGATTTTGGCTTTCTATTACTCCATATTGATACAAAAAATGTGTGAATCTTCCAAAGAACTTTCAGACACAAACTGGAAAAAAAGCCCTCTTGAAACAGCTACTTTCATCCAAACATTGAATTACACAAAAGAAACATTCTTTCGAAACAAATACTTTTATGTGAACACTGAATTATATAAAAAACACTTCTCTACTCAGTTTGCATTCCAAACATTCGTTATGGAATTGAATCAGACATCATTCACAGGATGCCTACACAATATACTAAATGAAAGGTAAAAGTTTCACTTACATGGAATACTGTCATCCTCACTGGTAGACATTGATGTTTCGCCGTAAGACACTTGCCTTAGGGCTCTTCAGTACCAATGTGGAAAACATTATATGAAAAAACACACAATTCATTAATAAAATTATGACTTTATGTCACGGAATGAGTTTGATCTACTCATGTCATCGGTGACATCATAATGAAATTAATTCGCTTATTTGATTAAATCCCAGCCAAAGGAATCTTGTTGAAATTGAAAGGGTTATGTTTTCAGGAGTGATTCATTTTTGAGAAAGAAAGTTTTTGGCTTTCTACTACTTACTCTATCTTGATACAAAAAAATGGGAATCTTTTAAAGAAAGGAAGGAAGCAATCAATTTCAAAAGAAGTAACTCTATACATAAATGTGTAGATCATGCAAAGAAGTAACTTTCAGACACAAACTTGAAGAAAAAGCCCTCCTACTATTTTCAAATAAACATTGGACATTTCCACATGTTTGTATCAAGTTGGAGTAGTAGAAAGCCAAAAACTTTCTTTCCCAAAAATTATTCACTCCTAAAAATACATATAACCCTTTCAATTTAAACAAGATTCCTTTGGCTGGGATTTAATCAAATAAGCGAATTAATGTCATTATGATGTTTCAATTCAAACAATGTAAAGTGTTTCTTGAAAACCTTTCTTCCTTTTCTCGGCATCGACAACTGTGGTCATAAGCTACGTGTTCTAGGTAGACTACGTTGATATCTCCTAGANTTTTATCAAGAATAAGTTTTTGTCGAAAAACCCTTAATAAATAAGTGTCCCATATGGTGCATACTTTGGGGATGACACTGTATGAGTCTCAGCAAATCTGCGGATAATAGTCAATTTGCAGTCAAAGGGATATTTCAGTGTACGAAAATCATGCCCAGTCGAGGTGACATCACATTTATTTTTACGAACAGCGAATTGAAGTGCTGCAATTAATTACCTCATCGATAAAATTTTGTGTGTTTTTTGAGAAATTTCTTATCGTTTGTCCATTGAGAGTTAACAATAATTGGATGACTGATAAGAAGTCATTATACGAGTACTTATATTTATTGTTTCAATCAGTCAGCAAATATTTATAACTTCCAATAGTTTTCGTGAAGGTTTCGTTGAAATCAACTGAAAAAAGGTTTTGTTTGGTTTGCTATGTATCAGGTAAGTTAATCTGTGGATATTGCTAGTAGATATCGAATGAGAAAGCCAGTCGCAATCTATGCTTCATAAATATGGAAAATAGTTATTTTAGTAACGTGTTTCCAGATCTTTGTTCTCATAAAAAAATCGACATCGACTGGAAATAATAATGATGAACTTCCATATTACTAGAAGCCTAATAATTTGTCACAGAAGTGAGTTTTAATAATAACACTGAGTTAAAGCAAAACGAAAAGTTAAATTTTTGTCGCCACGCCAATAATTATTGCCATCTATCATCAGTTAAAACAATTCAGACTCCTGTCAGATTCGGTTATATATAGGAGTGCTAACATAGCGCAAAATTTGGGTTTCTTCAGTATTTTCGCGAATTTGTTTTCTAGATTTTGCAGATTTTTTTTTATATCCCGCTATTTTGTCTCAGCAGATCAATTTCATCTCAGATTGCCCTGGACCTATTACTAGTATGAGATTTTTACTGATACGAGTAATCCAAATAGATCGATCAAATCACTTCGCCTGCTCCTTTAATTTCTGTCTACCAATTACCGATCCATCTATGTTACATATTTCCCTTGTGAAAATGAAAAGAAACAAACGATACAACAAAACAGTTGAATAAATATGAATTCATCTATGATATTATTTTCTTGTTTGAAGATGGTTGACAATGTTTCGTGGTGTATTTCATCAGTTCGGACTTCCATTGTCTAATAGAATATAATTTGATTTGATAACCCTGAAAAAATCAAAAAAAGAGATTAACCGAAAATAACAATTTTATTAAACAAAAAACTGAAATTACAAAGAAATAACATACAACAACAACCAAACAAATAAAAATTGAAAAAGTNTTTTTATTTGTTTGGTTGTTGCTTGTATGTTATTTCTTTGTAATTTCAGTTTTTTGTTTAATAAAATTGTTATTTTCGGTTAATCTTCTTGATTTTTTTCCAGGTTATCAAATCAATTTATATTAAATTAGACAATGGAAGTCCGAACTGATGAAATAAACCACGAAACATTGTCAACCATTTTCAAACAAAAGTTTTATTCTGTTTCATAAAATCAGTTATAATTTTTATCAGGAATCTATTCTTTTATCATGAATATACTAAGGGAGATTACCTTCCAGTTCATAAATATTGCTTGATATAACCGCTTGATGACTTTTCAACCCTTCACCGTCAAATTGAATATTCATTCACAGATGTAGATAATTTGAAACCATCCTGTATATATTCGTTCATACGATATATTGTTTGTAGAAAATGGTAGATGATGAGAGAGAACCGCTACTATCAAGTAATTATAGTAATCCTGAAACAGATGATACTTCGCAAATAAAAGGTACATAGTAATTGTTTTACATGTTATGCAGGCTATAGGAACAGTCATTTTTATGACAATATACATTCAATTTTGATTCAATTTATTAACTTATTTGATAATAATACACATATTTTAGTTACTGCTATATAGAGGCATCTGGTTTCCTGTTTAGGAGCAGAAATTGCCTAGGCAAAGAAACCTGTATTGCATGTACATAGAAACAACGTTGCTGTAATGTTGATCATATTGTGAAAAGGAATGCTTCGATTTCATTTGATAATGATAATAATAATTTCAACAAAACATTCACCTACGCCTACAAATTGACGATTTGTTAGTAATTTTGAGCAGAAGTTCAAAATATCGTCACAAATTTATCAAAAAATAATTTTGGCCGACAGTTATTTAAAAAAAAACATTTTCAAAGCTTATATGTTTGCAACGAAATTATCAAATGTAAGCATTTTTTCCAATCTAGAACTGAAGCCGAGCTCCGACATATTATAAGATATTGAACCTTGTAATTCAGATAGCATTTTCCATGTTTCTTCCGATAGATTATACTTGACTCAATTCTAGCTTGAAAGAATTGTTTTTTGAACAACAAGCCATTTGTGCATATTTTATGATTCTTTAAGTTCCAGATACATTTTTTGAAAGTTGAAGTATTTCCTCCATCTTAAGCAAGAGCATTTCACTTAGTCCTTAGTTTTATATTTTTAGAAACGCAGCAATGAGGGAAATTCCATATTGAAGTGGAAAAGATATATCGTGGAAATAAATCAAACGCAGAATGATAGTCAATGATATTATACAATTGCGACCATTCCTCCCGTTGAAGATCGAGTCTGAAAGCTTGTAGTGCCGTTTGTTATATGAACGACCATTAAAGGAGTTTACAACCTGTGACGCCAAAATCGATCTTGGACAAGATCATCCTATGATCTGACAATGGAAAATCGAGTACACATGAAGACCCTTTGTTCGGAAAATTCAAGTATATATAATCAATAGAAGAGACTGTTGTCCGTCACTCTGGTTAGCGGAGAAATCAAGCTACGAAAGTTATACTGAAGCAAAGCATTATTTACTTCCTAATTTCAAATAATCCAAATTTAAGTCACCACAGATAATAATAAATTCAGGTTTATAATACCTATACATAATTGTAACTAATTGAGTTTCAAGATCTTCAAATTTTGCACTTAGAGGTCTATAACAACAAGTGATGTACATTCAAATCTTTTCATTTTTACGTATTTTCAAATTTGAAATAGAGCTCTTTGTAGAACATGGTTCATTGATACATATCAATTTTACATTCTTCCAGTTCATTTGTTTTAGCATTGTTCAATGTTTGAAGGTTGATGAAGAGGAAGTAGGCTTCAAGAAATTTATCATTTGCAATGATGTTGTAACAGGATGTAACATATATAGGTGTAGGTCCACTACTTTGGAAATCACCCTGATTTCCACTCGAGAGCCATCCTTCTTACCAATCAAAACCTTAGGTTTGCGTTTTCTGTAGGTCACTTCCTGCCTTTCCTTGTTTGGGTGTGATTAAGTCGAATCGTGAATATTTTCAATGAAGCCAGACAAAACAGTCCTCTGCACATTAGTAATGCCTTGTTCGACTTGCTGTGGAGTTATCAAAGTTTGATGTTGATGCGAGGATTGCGAATCTGACCTTTTGGTAGCGCTGAAGAAAGATCTAGATTTTGTACTGGTATTTATATCAATGTTATGATCAACTGATCTACTTGGTGATTTACTGTGATTAATAGTTGAAGATGATGAGCCGACAACATTACGATTTGATAAATCTACGTTATTGTTGAGTTTAATCTCATCTATGAGCGACTTCTGGGTAAAAATAGTAATTTGTTTTTTCTGAATTGATCTTTCTTGCTCAGCATTCACTCTCTTCAAACAATCGATCGTAAATATGGCGGATTTTAACTCACCCTCTGTTGATGAAATCTTTAAGGTTAGTTCACCATCAACACTTGCTGTATTACTGTTCACGTTAAGTGAGTCGAAATTACCTTTTTCTTTCACAACTTTTCGAAAATTTTTACTTGAATTCACATCTAATGGTATTTTTTTTCTGTTGATATTATCTCTATCAGATTGATTTTTGTTGATTTATTGAGTTCTTTAACAGCATTGTCTTTGTCCGCCATGTGGTTGGATATTCTGAACGAGCTATTTGAGGGCATGGTCAACTTATGTGGATGAGATGTGAACTGATCACTGAAATCTTGCGATTTGACCCCATTAGACTTTTCCTTGCTATGTAAAATTGAAATATCAAATTGTTGTTATTTTTCAGGAAATAATAGTGCACTGTAATATCGAACAAGTACAGCCCAGAGAATACCTTCGTACGCTGTTTTTACTGTCGTTTGTCCTACTAACTTTTCTTTACTTGATTACTTGACCAGCAAGTAAGTAGACAAAAGACTTCCATAAAAGAGACTTCAGTAAGCATTTCGTGGAGTTCAATAAAAAATGAACCGAAAACTCTTTCGCGATCTTAGTAGAATGACCCGCATAGAATTTTGTCACGATACATATACCTTCTTGCGCTGTTTTCACTGTTGTTTGTCTTACTAACTTTTCTTTATTTGATTACTTGACCAGTAACTTCATAACTTGTGATGCACTATTTGGAACCTTTGGTGTACTAATCGATATTACTGGAGTTTTTCCCAACACCAAACCATTATCAATACCTCGACACGTGTTTCGATCACCAAGTGACCATCTTCAAGAGGAAGATGTAAATTATACTTTTTTTTTCATTACCAGAACGTTTTTCATTTTTCAGAAGGCATACCTAAAGCAGTGATCACATCTATATAGCTTAGCACCCGAAAATACTTTCAAGATTCACAACTCGAAACAAAAGAGAGTGATTTATCCTACTCTACCATTTCCTTCTTCATTTCACTATCACCTGAACAAAATTGATGAAACCGTTAGCCATCAAATATAATATTTCTTTCATTTCTAGGACCATCTTTGGGAATACGACATGTCCAGGCTATGCTCATGTTTCTACTTCTATCAATTGGAGTTGGAATGAGGGTGCACTTATCGGTTGCAATAGTTGCAATGACAGACAATACTACCAGTTCAAATCCTGATGTACCGGTAAGAAATGACATATATTCATAATGATACTCTCGTTGGCCATTAAAATAGACTTGCCTACACTTAAAAAAATGGACAGATCATGTATAAGGACTGGTCAATAACAATAACATAATAAATTATTAAAACTTTCTACCGAGTTTGTAAATACTACGGTGAGTTGAATTGAAAGCAGTATATTTCTAGAAGCGATTTGATTTTGAGAAAGAATTTTTTGTCTTACTACTTCCCCATCTTCATCTAAAAATGTGGGCGACTTTCAAAGAAAAAAATGAAGCAAATGATTTCAAAATGAATCCTTCACAAACCTATGTAGATCATGCTGAGAAGTTATTTTCAAATACAAACTGAAAGAGAAAGCCCTCACGGAAGAACTACTTTCATATGAGCATTAAACAACAACAACAACTGACAAAATGGTTTGGACTTTCGCGGCTAAGGTTTTCAGTGTCACTGTTTTTCGAGTTTGAAAGCCGTGGAATTTTGGAATTTCTTCCTGACGTTTCGCTGGCGCGAGTGGCTAGCTTCTTCAGAGGTTTAACCATCATGGCTTGCTGTCCGATGACTAACTTTTAGGCTTCGTAAAGCGTATTTATGCCTTGTCAAGTAATCAGTTGTATTTGTACCTGTACTTGTACCTGCATTTGTACCTGTACTTGAGCCTGGAACATTAAGAATCTTGCTGCCTGTTATCATTCCGTTCGTTATTCTCGAATTTCTCAAAATAGGGTTCCATATTCGATTGAGGTTCACCGCTTCTTCTTTTCTGTTGAAATTCTCCGTGCGTTTGTGAATTTCTGTTGCCTCTCGTACCAGTCGGCTATAGTATCCCTGGTTGGGGGCAATTATTTCTGTGCCGACTGGTATGGGAGGCAATAGAAATCTACAAACACACGGATAATTTTAACAGAAAAGAAGAAGAGGTGAACCTCAATCGAATATGAAACCCCATTTCAAGGAATTCGAAAATAACGAACGGAATGACAACAGAGAATATATGAACCAGAATATCTGGAGAGGGAACTAAAATCACTGAGATTGAATGGATACAGTGCCTCCAAGATCAGGAAATCAGGAAAGCCATGAAACCGAAGAGCACTACGGTTCAAAAAGCGAAAAAGGATCAGATGGTTGCACGCGCATATCTACCGTTTATTCGTAGGGTCACGGACAGAATTGGAAAACTATTGGATAAACACGACATCGAAACAATCTTCAAGATACAACAAAGCATCAGGTCGGCTAAAGACAAAAGATATCCATTATCAGCAGCATGGGTCTATCGCATACCGTGCACTTGTGGGAAAGTATATATCGGAACTACCAAACGATCTATGGGAATAAGACTGAAAGAGTATAAAAGGAACTACAGACTAGGCCAAGCGGATAAGTCAGCTGAGGCAGAACACGCGCTTAGTGAAGGAGACCACATAATTTTGTTTGAAAACACAGAACTAATTGCCCCCAACCAGGGATACTATAGCTGACTGGTACAGAAGGCAATGGAGATCTACAAACACACGGATAATTTCAACAGAGAAGAAGAAGCAGTGAACATCAATCAAATATGGAACCCCATTTTAAGGAATTCGAGAATAACGAACGAAATGACAACAGGCAGCAAACTTTTCAATCTTCCAGGTTCAAGTACAGGTACAAGTATAAGTGCAGGTACAGGTACAAAATCAGGTACCAATACAACTGATTACCTGACAAGGCATAAATACGCTTTTCGAAGCCTAAAAGTTAGCCATCGGACAGCAAGCCATGATGATTAAATCTCTGAAGAAGCTAGCCACTCGCGCCAGCGAAACGTCAGAAAGAAATTCCAGAAATCTACGGCTTTCAAACTCGAAGAAAAATAGTGACACTGAAACAACAACTTTTTCATGAACATTGAAATATATGAGAACACTTTCTCCTATTATTTAGTTAGTACTCCAAAAATCCGTTATGGAATTGAATCAAATATCATTCGCAGGAATTCTACACAATATCGTATATGGAAGGAATGAAATTTCACCCACATGGAACACTCTTATCCTCAATGGCGGCCATCGATGTTTCGGAATAAAACACTTATCTCATTGCTTCTTCAGTACCAATCTGAATAAAATTTTACTCAATTCATTTATAACACTACGACTTTATGTCACTGATGAGTCAATTCTACTCATGATCTGTCAAAAATAAGCAAAACGTTAACTTTATCCTAGTTGCATAAAATTCGGCATATGGATATAAAATTGCCGTAGACACAACTTCTTCAAGTAACTTTTTGTTTAATTTGATCTAGAAATGCTGAACGGCAGTGGGTTGCAGTTGGCCGCATCATTTCAAGTTAAATTTAAAGCACAAACAAGTGCCGAAGTTAAACTTCATTGAAACTTTTCGAAAAAAAAGTTTTCCATATGGTGCGCATTTCTAGCTAGGAGTTTCGTTTCCTGACATGACTCGTGAGACCTTAATCCCAATTAGAATGCACTTACTTCGCCTGTACGCGAACAGCTCACCATCTATCCCTCCCATTCTTCCCTCACCACGTTGTCTACCCAATCATTCAAAAATCGTATACATTCATCCTTTTTCCCATACACATCCCTCATTATAATTCCACCATTTCATCCTTTCCGTCCTCTCCTTCCACTCTCGCAAATCAATAGTTCAATCACGTGCTTTTCCTTTTCAGGCTCCCTATAGTCACAGGGGCAGGGAACCTCCGGACCCAGGTTAAATCTTGTCAGGTATCCCGGAAAGTTCCCCTGTCCCGCGAGCAGTTGGACAGCCTTCCGCGACGGATCTAATGATCCATATCCGACTGTTCTACAAAATATGTAGAACAGCTGTCCAGTCGTACCTCTCTCAAATCCCTTTGCCATTCTCTCCTGATATTCTATTTTATCCTTTTTCTCTCATCTAACTTACTATTTGCCTTTCCTTCTCTCCATGTGGCATCTGTTATATTCATACTCTTGGCGGCTTTCTCATGAGCCTTTGTATTTCCTACGTTATTGCCATCGTTTCCCCTATTCCACGTGATCTGGGTACGTACTCCCCTAGCACTCCTTTCATCGATCATCTGCTGAATCATTGCTATCCTTTTAATCCCCACTCTTCCTGCTTTCACTCATTCTACAGCCATAGCAGAGTCACTGATTACTTTCACGCTCTCATCCATGCTCCACATGCTGATCACTCGCTCGATCGCAATCAACTCTGCCTCGTTCACGCTGCTTTGTCCGGTGATTCTTCAATTCCCTGTGGTCCATTCATCCTCTCCCCTTTCATATGCCCAGCCCATCTCCATTCTTTCATCTTCAATTCCGCCCCGGCATCTGCATATACTTCAATCACTCCTTCGTCCTCCATCTCCTCCAGCAACGCCCCTTGCAACCAGGGGAATATCCTATTCTCTCCTTTCACCCTGTCCTGAATTTTTCTTGTCCCGTTCACTCTCGATATCTGGCCCATTCTTCTATCTGTAATGGCGCCATTTCGGTGATGCCACTGAGCGCAGCCGTTGGCGTCATCCTGTAAGCGCCACACTAGGCCAACAGGAAGGGCCTCTGTACTGCACTCAACTGTCTCCTCACCCTGCTATCATGCATCCTATTCCCCCACACCTTTACTTCATACAAAGCCGCAGGTTTGGCTACCCTTTCATATATCACTCTTACACATTCTCTCTTCACTCCTCCTCCCGGTCCACCTTCTCATTTTTCTCGCCAGCTCACCTCCTTGTGGTGGAGACAGGAGACACAGGAGACAGTGCTATAGTTCCAATGTGGAAAAAATGTTTTCTTTAGATTCATTCTATGCAGAGATTCCCATCAAATATTATTTGATTTCCAACTCAATATGTTTGGCTGATTAACCACTTTGAAAATTGATGTGTTTTCTACTCGCCGATCCTGATTTAACATGTATTGTTTTTCCACCCGTATTGTTTTTCTATATAAGTGAATAAAAAGACATGGGCTGAATATATTCATAAAATACAAGTATATGTACACTTCATTCTAATTCATATTGCAGACTTATGACTGGACCAACAAGAGTGTGATATTGTCCTCGTTTTACTGGGGCTACATCTTGCTGCAGCTCTGGGCGAGCGAACTTGGAAGAAATTATGGCACCAAGAAATTTCTCATTGGCTCAATGTTCATCAATTCGACTGCTTCGATGTTGGTCCCAGTTTTGGCAGAACAGCTAGGATCCTATGGGGTTATGGGATGTAGAGCAGTCCAAGGATTATCTCAAGGATTCTTCTACCCTTCGATGTACAATATTCTCGGCAGATGGAGTCCAAAGGAAGAAAGATCGACTTTGGGATCTTTAGCATTGAGTGGTAAGTCGAGTGTGATTTGGGATAATTTTGGGACATGTAGCATGAAATAACTTGTATCAACCTCTCATTTCGAATATATCGAATATATGATTTCAGATATGAACAACAGCAGCTATAGAAATCAAAGTACTCTCAGTGACTTCTATCAATGAATCATTCATCAAATTAGATCTTCAAAATTTTCAAGCAAAAGATATGATTGTAATAATAGAAAAATTGCAACTATGTTTATATCTCTAGTGTTATTTTTCTCAAAAGTGTATTTTTATTTCTATCATTGTTCAATCAATACTATGTTTTCTACTTCTTGGGAAACGTCGACTCGTCTATTCCTCCCAAGTCTCCGGAGAACACTGGGACTATTACGTTTTTCTCCCATCTTTTTCATGACACTTATTTCAACAATGTTGTCTCTGTACCAGTTTGTACAGGTCCCTTGATGAAATTCATATCATATTCATCTGGACATCATTTCAGATGAACACATGATGTAATGCTTCACAATCACATAAAGTATGACGAGCTCTCTGTCCCTTTATTATATTGCCTGCAACTGAGGTCTTTGTGAATTTTATCAAGACTGTAAATAAAGTCAGATTTCAATTGGTCCTTATTTCGCTCTATTCATTCCAAAAATCTTCTCAGAGTAGTATTTTCTCTAAAAAATTAAATGGAATTGCAGTTTTTTCGATATTTGAAAATGGCAAGAAACTTTGTTCAAACAATTATAGACCAATTACCTACTGTTTTATCGGTTTCCTGAAAAATATTGAAGAAAGTCGTGAATTTTACGTTGATCAGGATTTTGGACAAACATATTTATTATTCAGTGGTCAGAACGGATTTCAACAAAAGTGGGATTTCGGAATTGAATGTTTTGGAAATTTCCAACAGAAAATAGATCATTATCAAAAAATGCTACTTTCAATTTTTCATTGCATCTAGATCATGGGGTGCAAATACAAATATATTAATTAATGTGATCTATAGATCTTTGATTAGTTCAAAAATGGATTATGGTTCTATAGCGTACAACTCCGCAAAAAACGGGACCTTGAAAAAACTGGACACCATCCCAAACTGTGCTCTCAGAATTGCTCTTGGGGCATTCCACAAAAATCCGGTTGAAAGTTTATACTGTGAGTCAGGAGAACCTCCATTAAGTATCCGAAGAAAACAGCTCAGCCTCACATATGCTGCTGCAGTTCAATCTAACCCAGATAACCCTGTTTTTCATAACGTTATAGGCCAAAGGTTCATAAATACATTTGCAAAAAGGAAGAGAGTGGCAATTCCATTCTACGAGAGACTCAATCGATTCCTTTCCAACTTACTACTCAATCGACCTGAAATTTTCAACACTTTAAAAGTTCCTAATCCTCCTCCATGGACCTTTCCAAGCATTAAAATTGAAAAAGGGCTCGTACAATTGGAGAAAAATGACACCAACCGTAGTTTAACTCACGCAACTTTTCAACAACTATTGCAACAATTAGAAAACTGTATCCAAATATACACCGACGCATCCAAATCAGAAAAAGGAGTAGGGCCAGCATTCACCAAAACTACCTCCAATAACTCCTTCAAACTACCAGCAGAAAGCACTGTGTTCTCAGGAGAACTTCATGCCATATGGAAAGCACTTGAATATGCAGAGAAAAGCGATCATTCAAAATTCTTGGTAATTACCTACTCACTGAGTACACTGGAGGCAATAACGAAGCTGAACTTAGAACACCCCATCATACTTCACATCAAACATAAGCTCCACTCAATCATCGAGAAACGTTAACATATCCACTTCATGTGGGTTCCATCACATGTTGGTATAGCAGGCAACGAAAGGGCCGACCAGCTGGCAAAGAATGCTATTACTAACCCACTCACAGATAACTTCGCTCAAATGTCAAGGTTTCAAATGTTTCCTTTCGATTATCGTGACGTAGTTCACGATAATCCACCTGCACACTCGTTATTGCTTGTTTGTAATTTTTGGCCGAAAACATCATCGTTATCATGCATCAGCCACCGTATTAACCAAATTCTGGCCATCTGCGATTTTTTCCAATTTCCAAGATTGAAGAGATCCATGAAAAGGCCGCGTTTTTGCGGGGATTGAGGAGATGAAAACCGAATCGCTGACAGAGCTCAAGGACATACCAAAAAGTGCATAACAGAAATGCTTCGAGGTTTTTTATAGAGCAGTGCCTGTACAAAAGTAGTGATTCATTTTGGATTTGAATCGCTGGTGATTAAATCCAATTGGAAAACGAACTCAAGAAATTATTCATGTAAACACAGTTATCCAGATGAAAGAGTTCTTAAACAGTAAAGTTCGAGGTGTACTGAGTTGAACCTCAAAACGATGAGCAGCCAGGATTGCAAAAAGTGCTGGCACAAGTGTATTATACCTGAGGGGTACTACATTGGAGGGGACAAAATAGGAATTAATGAGTAAATGAATATTTTTTTAATTGAAAATTTTATTTTTTTGAACATAATTGATGAAATTTCAATTAAGAAAGTTTCTGACCTTCTACTACCTACTCCATTTTGAGATAAAAAAATGTGGCAATCTCCCAAAGAAAGGAAGGGAGCAATCATTTCTTAATTTCAAAAGAAATAAATCTATACATAGATCATGCAAAGAAGTAACTTTCAGACACTAATATTTTTATTGATTCAAAAAAATGTGGAATCTTCCAAAAAAAGGAAGTATTCAATTTGAAAATAAGTAACTCTATACATGGGTGTGTAGATTATGCAAAGAAGTAAGTTTCAGACACTATTATTTTTGTGGAAATCGGAAAAATGTTTTTTTGTTATAACATGTTGAGTATTTTTGGGAAAGAAAGTTTTTGGCTTTCTAGTACTCCATCTTGATACAAAAAAATGTGGGAATCTTCCAAAGAAAGGAAATAATCAATTTAGAAATAAGTAACTCTATACATGAATATGTAGATCATGCAAAAAAGTATCTTTCAGACACAAACTGGAACAAAGCCCTCCTGAAACAGCTACTTTCATTTAAACATTAAATTACACGAAAGAAAAAAATTCTTTCGAAACAAATACTTTTATATGAACACTGAGTTATACAGAAGATACTTTTCCCTACTCAGTTTGTATTTACGTTTGTGATCCAACACCAGACAGCGTTCAGAACCGCCATACGTTTCATCAGTAGGACTGAGGTAAACTACGAATGCTTTGTTGGACTCAAGACTCAATTGCAAAGTTGCAAAGCCAAGCGTTGACATTTAGCGCCGAACAATATATTATGTCCTCTGCATTCCATAGTAGTTTCCACTGCAGAACAGCTAGTCGAAACTGAAGCCCATTTCTTCGGCTAGTCGAGGAATGGACCTAATATTTGCGAAATGTTTTATGACATTTTCTGTTTCTGCTTCGTAGTATAATAGCAACAACACATACAGCTCTCTTAAAATCCATCTTCAAACTGAAAATCGTGTCCAGTTTCGCGGTTTCTATCGGTAGTGTGTGCGTCTCGGGCGGTTTGGCGGTTTACCGGTTTACCGCCGCTGGTGGGATGTGCGCTAGTGCGGTGTCAGGCTTAGTGGAGTTTTTTCATGTTTCGAATGACAAACATGACCGAGAGAGGGCGCAATAATGTGAAACTACATTATTGTAATCATTATAATCACAAGGATGGAACAACCGTTATATTTCCAGATATTTATTATCCCTCACTTTTGAACACTGTTTGTGCTGTATTCATATGAATATGACTACTGCATGACATTTGAATGTCAAATTCATTCAATGATTCTACAGTGTCATCTCCAAAGTATGCACCATATGGGAAACTTATTAATTGAAGAAAAGAGAAATGAAACTTACTATGTTTTTAACCACTTTTATTTGTAATTAACGTTACTGCAGTTTCGTCCTATATGGACATTTTCAAACTTATACAATATCAATATCGTATAAGTTTGAAATAAAATAGATATTTCGGAACAAACTCATTGATTTCCTGGAGATTTTCTTGTTCAAAATAAGTGTTTCAAGCTGAATCAGAACCATCGTATACAGGATGCTGTCTATTCATCGTTTTATCAGAATTTTTTTTCGTATTCCCCATTTAAAAGAATTGGTAAAAAATATAACTTCTCTTTGATGGCCATAACTTCAAATACAGATATATTTTTCAATGATGAACAACTTTTCTCAATAGCATTTCCCAAGATTTTTCGAAATAAGAGTACTTTCCGCTTGTCACAAAATCAAATATTTAAAGGCTTCTCGTGTTAGGAATCACACGTTAAAAGGTAAGACCTCGTTAATCCTTAGCTCGCACAAGTTTCGACTTCTGAGGGTTGTCGTTCGTAGGGGTGCGACAGCTGGTTAACGGAAAAAGTCTCAGCAGATCAATTTCATCTCAGATTGCCCTGGACCTATTACTAGTATGAGATTTTTACTGATACGAGTAATCCAAATAGATCGATCAAATCACTTCGCCTGCTCCTTTAATTTCTGTCTACCAATTACCGATCCATCTATGTTGCATATTTCCCTTGTGAAAATGAAAAGAAACAAACGATACAACAAAACAGTTGAATAAATATGAATTCATCTATGATATTATTTTCTTGTTTGAAGATGGTTGACAATGTTTCGTGGTGTATTTCATCAGTTCGGACTTCCATTGTCTAATAGAATATAATTTGATTTGATAACCCTGAAAAAATCAAAAAAAGAGATTACCCGAAAATAACAATTTTATTAAACAAAAAACTGAAATTACAAAGAAATAACATACAACAACAACCAAACAAATAAAAATTGAAAAAGTAATGAATGCTGAAAAAATTGAACAATTAAAAATATTATTAACAAAAAATGAAAAAATAATAAAAATTAAAAGATTTCGAACCAAGTTATGTCACAACGTTTCGATTGTTAGTATCCACAATCGTCTTCGGGTGATAACTATTATCTATAATATATTAGACAATGGAAGTCCGAACTGATGAAAT